GGGTAAATCCAAAGTTGGCAGAGAGTCACCAAAAGTTCTTCCCATGTCAGACCTCGAATTCTTTGCAAAACTGAAGCATCAAACATGCAAATTCTTTGCAACATCTGCCTCATAGGTTAGCCTTCCAGATGGTGTTAGGCCAGACCTCTACCAAATAAAACAATGTAGCTGGGACAACAAGTGTTGGCGAGGATGTGGAGAAAAGAGAACCTTTGTGCACTGCTGGTGGGAATGCAGAATGTAGCCACTGTGGAAAACACTACAAAGTCACCTCAAAAAATTAAAAATGGAACTGCTTTATGACCTAGCGATTCATCTTCCGGAAATTTATCCAAAGAAACCTGAAACACAAATTCGAAAGAATATATACACCCCTATGATCATTGCAGTGTTATTTACAACAGCCAAGATTTGGAAGCAGCCCAAGTGCCCATCAGTAGATGAGTGGATAAAAAAGCGGTGGTACATTTACACAATGGCATACTACTCTGCTGTAAAAAGGAAGAAAATCTTACCCTTTGCAACAGCATGGGTGGACCTGGAGAACATTATGCTAAGTGAAATAAACCAGGCAGGGAAAGACAAGCATCATATGATTTCATTCATATGTGGAATTTAATGAACAAACTGAACTACCACGCAAAATAGAGACAGACTCATGGATAGAAAACAGGCAGACAGATCTGGTGTATGTGTTGAGGAGGGGGATATTGGGGGTGCTGGTGGAGGGGTTGAGCAAAAAGGAAAAAAAAAGGGAGAGAAAACTCATGGACATGGACAACAGTGTGGTGACTGCGGGGGTAGGAGGTGTAAGAGAGCATAAATGGGATAAATGGTGATGGAAAAAATTAAAGTAAATTACATTTTAAAAAATAATGTAGTCGGGGAATGTGACTTCCATGCAAATCTATGCAATGATGAGCCACGTCATAAAAAAGTTTTTCCTTCTATGTGAACTGCTGTCTAGGACCCCTAAAATGGCTCTTTACAATAGAGGGACAATCCGTGCTCTCTACAAATAGATTTATAACTGAGAAGGCGTCAGATGTTCATCGTTCTTCCCACTATTAGAAAGAATTCACACATTTTAAATTAAGTCCATATATTCCCTGGAACTGTTTCTAAATGAGTTGGCTTGTGCTTCTCCTTACTATCTTTCTCCACCGGGGTGTGCAGGTTATGGGTGGGCACGTGCTTTGGAGTCAACATGCTTGGATTAGCATCTGGGCCCCATTGCTTACTTGCTCTGTACCTTTGAGAAAGTAACTCCTTGTGCCTCAGTTTCCTCATCTGTAAAATGGGGGGCGGGGGTTAAAGGTGAGCTCTGCTTTGAAGAGTAAATGATAAAACTGTGCTCAGCTGTAGAATACTGCCTGACACCATAGGCCCTTGATATATTATTCTATAGCATCGTGAATCCAGCACATAAGAGCTGCGTTTAATAAGGAGAAGGAACTAGAAAATGCTTTTGTCTTTATCTTAATGTTGTCACCCCTTCCCTCCAACCTTTTTTTATTCCTTTGCCAAAGATCAGTTATATTTTTAAAATGCTAACATAAATACAGGTCCAGACACTTTTACTACACCCTGAATTTCCAAAGCAAAACACCAAATGGAGAGAGATGAATGATCAGAAAGCATTTACCAAGCCAGAGATTGGCTTTAGCTCCCCAAAGACATGGGAAAGTCAGGCAGGCTCAAGGCCCAGCTGGGTCCGATGTGCAGCTGATTCAGAAATCCGATCTCATGATCAAGGTGGACACTGATACAGGGTGAGAAAGAAGCCTGGCAGCGTCACATATTCCTCTTTCGGAATTCTGAATGGGTCTGTGGGAAACAGAATGGTCAGCAGGCCTGGAGAGGACAGGGGGGACAGGGAAGGGCAGGGAGCTACAGCGGCCTCTGGCTCCCGGACTCCTTCCTGCTCCCCAGACCCCTCCAAGCCCAGGCCAAGTTGGAAAGGAGCCACCTCTCCTACCCAGGACACACAGAGGCATCCAAAGGCCACTGTGCTGTGGGGCTCTGGCTGCTGGAGTCCTACAGTGCTCTCTACCCCAGTGCCAGGCACAGGGGAAGTGAGGGTGCCCCCTCCTGCCCTGTCCTCTCACCTAGAGCTTGGGCATCGCCCCTGGTTATGTGCCAGGAAAGCGGATCTGGATGGAGTCCTGGAGCCTGCTTCCAAAATCTTGCCCTTTAAAACAAAGCCAAGCATTCTGAAATTATCCTCACTTATTATTGAGTTCAATGTTAGTCATTACCAGACTCAGATTTGTAGGAGTGGCAGAGCCTATTCAGCCTAATAGTGGCTTATCATGAGGATGTGTTCTGGTAAAACTAAGAAAAACCAGGGAATTCAGTCTATGAAGATAAACATCTAAAATTACCGTGGTCTCTTTTGAATTGGGGAATATCTATTTGAAGAGGAGCTTGGGAGAGAAATTTGAGGCAAATTCCAAGTCTTCATAACCTACCTTGCAAATAAATCCTGAAGATTTTCTCTGAAAGGTCAAGGCTAATGGGTTTCCAGGCGAGTCTGCTGGTGTCCAACAACTTTCTTTTTAAAAAAAAAAATATATATATAT